CTTAATCACGTCGTTTCCTTTATGAGGAGAGCTGTGAATGGATTGAGTCCCATAGTTCACAGTTGGCTCTTGGAGCTCACCCTGGCAGACAGTCTATAAATAAACCTGCAGTGGCAGAGTAGGGGTTTAGGTATTTGCGTTGCGTATATTGTCTTGGATTTATTTCCTGTATTTTAATGATGGATGACAGATGCAGTTCAAACCTTTGTGGTGCCTGGAGCATGTCTATTTCGGTCTTCTAGAATAATAAAGGTGATGTTGGTCCTCTCTGTTTGTGCAGGTCAGGCTACTACTGTTGAAGTGAAGAGAATTTTTCCATGGTTTGTTTTGTGCATTTGACAGCAGGATTTGGGCAGTTGCCTCAGCATTTACTTTGCAATATCCATTGGTTTTCAGTGAGGCCTGTTTGTGTGGATGAGTTACCAGCAGAGAGAAGGAAAATAAATAGCTGAATGGTTGTGGAACTACAGATCTTGGGAAGCAGGCGTCAGTTCCAAAACTTGTGATTAAAAAGGAAAGTAATACTGGATTGCTAGGTAACAGCACTATTCAAAGTTGCATTTACTCTAGGATGCAGGCAGGGTAAGAAAGGCACCTTGACTGGTTTTTAGGGTTTGTGTCACTGATAAGAGCTTGGTCAGAGCCATTATACTGGCATCTTGAGTGTTCAGGTGCAGACCTTTTCAGTGCTCCCATGGCTGTTTTAGTAATGCAGAGCCATACAGGCCATTCTTGTGAAGCACATCAGTGATTTTTTCTGAAATGAAAGAGATCCTTTTCTTGTTCTGGTGTGTCTCTGGAGATACAGTCACCGTGTAAGTCAGGGTTGGCAGTGAAAGGAGAAGACCCAGTCTTGTGTTTTGCCACATTCCCTGGCACCAGCATTTATGTGGCTGTGGGTTGAGTTGGATCAGGGAACTGATGTTGCTGAAAACTCTGACTGATTTACATGAACACTACAGCCAACATAAGGGAGGTGATGAAAATGCATGTTGAGGGGACGCAAGGCTTCCTTTCTTGGTACTGTGTGCCCTGATGCTCGTTCAAAGCAAATATGTCATCCTGTCATCCTTATCTGGAAGATGCCCTTGCTTGTATCAGTTCCCCGAGGTGGTCTGCTCATGTGTTTGAATGTGTTTGACGAAGATACTGTACATGGCCAAATTCTGTTAGCTGGGATGAAATTTTCCAGGATTTCTCCATTCAAAATACACTCAAGATTGCAGTAAACATAAGTTAGTTCTTTAATGTCAAGGAAAAGCAGTGAAGATTGTAGCTTTAGCACTTGAAAATAGGGTGATGAGTAAATAACCTCCAGAAGTTTATAACTGGTGAGGAGTTTGTTGTGAGGTGTTGGAATTTGATGTTGGTCTGTTGCCTTGGATGGGGTAAGGTTGAAGGGCCCTTCAGAAGTGAGTGTTTGCCACAGGAGATTAATTGTGGGCCCAGACTTACTGAAGTAGAAATTGAGTCATTTTAGTGCATATTTGATTAACAAATTCCTCACCCCTTTCTGAATCTTAGTCCAAACTCTTGTCTGAGGTCTGTGCCAACTTTAAACAGATATATGCAGACGAGCAAAGTGTCTATGATTCTGGTTTTAAGAAATTAACCATGAGATAGAGCCACTGGTAGAATTTAGGGCAGCAGGGTAGGAGCTGGCAGAGAGATTTCTCTGCACAGTTTTTTGATCACTGCTTTGGTGCAGCTGTCAGTGGTCAGTGTTACATGAATAGTTGTCTTTGTGTTAGGCCTCTCGTTTTAGGATAGTGAGCGTTTAAATACTGCTCTTGCCTAACATGAACAACTTGGAAATTAATCCTGCTTGAGCAGGAGATTGGGCTAGATGACCTCCCAAGTTCCAAGGTAAATCCTTAGTTGGGAATGTATTAGTAACTAAGTACTAAGCAGTGGTGGTGTTTTGCCTGTCCAGGGTATTGCAAGGTGCACTCGTGTATCAGTTGGGCAATACTGACAGCAGACTTCTGGGAATTGCTGCAAATTTTCCCATGCTTGAAGGTTACAGGGTTACTCTTCCTGTACACCTCTGAGCACTGAAACCTGATGACCTGGGGAGGGAGAGCCACATTCAGAAGCAAACTCAGGTCACATGTGTTTCCTGTGCCTGTGCTAAGTGCAGCTTTCTTTGAGTCTTTTTAAGTCCTACTGTTGTGAGGCAAGATAGGTGCTGGGAAGGAGAGAAATGCCGAGTGCACTGAGGCTGATGACTGTCATCAGTTTGTAGTGGCTCTTCAGTTTTGGCTTCTGTGCCCTCCAGAGTTTAGCCATTCAGTAATTAGTCACTCCACACAGGAAAAAACTGAGGGCAGAGGAGATCAAGTTCACAGCCACAGTGGGAACAAATTGGGACTAGATCAGATTGGGGAGCACCTGGAGACAGACCCAAACTATTGGCTGTTTGTTTCTAGAGGGAAAACTGGCATGTTACTATAGCTGAAGTTGTGATTCACTCTTTGTGAACCCACTTGCACCCTTGAATGCTGTTCTCCATGCCACAAATGCATTCTTGTCTTCCCTCCACTCTGAACCTTTCTGCTAATTGGAAGCATCCCCCTGTTTACTCAGCTCCAAACAGGATGCTTCATACCAAATAATCAATCATGCAGAGTTTCTTAGCTTATGACACATCTTAACGTGCTGAGGAGTAATTCTTAGCAAAGAAGGGAGTACTGAGTCATCTGGAAAAATAAACAGTCCTTGGACACTTAATGCTGTTGATGCTTCTGCTGGTAGTTTTGTAACTTCGAACCTTCACTGCTGCCACAGGGTAGAAACAGTGACTCCTCCCAGGGGTGAGGAGTGAGTTCAGAGTTTAGGCAGCACTTTAGGACATTTTAGATATGCCCTAAGAACATCTGGCTGTGCTGGTTCTGATGTTGCAGGCAGAGTGTGCATCCATGCCTGCCTTGATGTGAGCAAGCAGACCTCTCCTATCAGTCTTACCCAGTGGTGAGGACAAGCAGATCCATCTTTTCCTGCCACCGAGGCCACCATGCTGGCCAGGGAAATACAGACAGGGTGACAGTGGCAGCTGGACTTGCCAAGAAGTATCCATCAAAGAAAACAGAGAGGCCAACTTGCTGCTGCTTATTTTGGGTTTGTAGAGGGATCCAAAGGCTGAGTGTGATTCTGGAGGAAGTAGGAGCAGCCTTACCTGCTGGGCTTGAGTTTCATATGAGGAAACTGTACACCCAAGTGCAGAATGGGACACAGGCTGTCCCCTTTGCCAAAGCAGAGTGTAGGCTTAGAGTAAGGCAACATAGTTGAACTTGCTTGGAAATCCTAGCAGCAGCAAGGCCCAGGTGTTGGACCTTGGTTGCCAGCAGCACTATAAATGCCACAGGGCTTTGCTGTCGTTAAGGTCACAGGTCATTAGGTAAGGAGCTGTAGCAAAAACAGCCTTCTTGGAGTCTCATTTCAGAGGGTACAGTGAGGACAAGCTCTAAGGGAAGCTCTGAACTCATTTGGTGATCTACCTCACAGAAAAGTGGCTTTATTTAGTATATAAATGTAAGCTTTGGCCGTGGCTTTTTCCCCTCCAAACCTGCCTGTATGACAGGCAAGATGGTTTGCCACACATTGTGTGCTTTACTCGGGGAGTGCTGCTCAACACTGCTGTGGTGCACATCTTCCGTGCTTTTCATCTTGCTCTCAGGTAGCACTTGCCCTGTGGAACAACTGCAAATGCTAAAAATTACACACATCCACAAGTAAACCAACACACTGGTGAAAATAAACGAGGGAGTAAAGATTTAGGCAGGACTTTACTTGCTTGTGATAAGAAGAGCTGTGGCGTCGTCTGTCGGAAGGCTCTGTGGGTACTTTTTTCTCCCTAGAGAAGTTAAGTCAGCTTTTTAAAATGAAAGTTAGGAAAATGGCTTTTCAATGTATTGCTGTAGTTTGGCCCACAGCTCGTCAGAACAAAGAGAGATGAGGTCAATCAATTTTTAATGTTTGCTTTAGAAAGGAGAGAAGCAGAGCATGTGTTGGTTACGCTGTCAAGGTCACAGCAAGCAGTGTCACACGGCAGTAGTTGCAGCCAGGTGGAAAGTCTTAGCTGTACCTGAGCTGGCGTGAAAGAGGAGTAACTCTGGGTCTGTGTTGTTTCCTCCCTTCCCTTGGATCTGCCGGCATAATCGCGTGGGTCATCGTTTCCTAGATGATGCCTGGGAAAGTGATCCGGGCTCAGATAAGCCTTTGTGACTGTGTGTGCAAGCTGGTCCCCGTCAGGCTGACAGAATGAGGTTAAGGAACTGCCCTAGATGTATGTAGTAAGGGAAGAGGGTGTGGTGCTCAGCAGAGGTTACACTTGTCACCCAGCTCTGCTGCAGTCAGGTGGTGTTTCATTCTGGGTTGAGTGAGCGCTCTGAAGTTACAGAGAACTGTTTCCTCTGGGCGCCTGAACAGGTCAAGATTGGCAGCAGTGTGATTGTGGTCTCTAGACACAGCCTGCTCAACACCTTTGTGTGCTACGAGGGAGCATGCCCTCACCAGCGGAGCTCTGTCTTGTTTCTTGTCTTGCAAATTGTCTCCTGAAGCTCTGATGCTAGCCTGCTGAGTACCTGTTTGTTCTCTTGGTTTTATAGGTAACCTTGATAGCTTTTACAATAACCATGATGACTTTCACTGGGCACTACAGCCACTAAACCAGTTGACATCTGAAATTCTCAAACCTGCTTCTTGTTACATGATTCACAGTGCACACAGAAGGCCCCTTCTGTGTGTAGAAAACTGCAATGCAGTGATACTGAATCCAGCTTTGTAGTATATGTGTCTGAATTATATTGCCTCCTGAATTCAGGCAAGGGTTGTTGATCTGCTTTGTGGGATGCTGCAGATGCTGCTACCACTCTGTGTGTTGTGGGTTGCAGCATCTAAGCAGGTGCCGAGGCCCTAGTTTGTGATTAATGTTGGGGAAAGGAAGAAAAACTAAATTTTCTCCATTTTCCAGAGTTCATAATTCTCTTGTTTCTTGTGCAGGGTGGGTTACCAGCATCCAAATGGCTCTCTTGAATAGACGATTGGGTTTGTCCTTAACCCATTTCGGCAGTGTGGTGATCCAGCGACCGTTCAGGTAATTTTCAGATTTTGCTTTTGTTTTCTTTGGAGCATTTCTCTATCAAAAGAGATGCTGTTAAGTAGGTCAAGCATAAGATACAGTATTTGTAATTCAAAAGGATAATATAATAAAAAACCCCAACTTGCAGTTGTCCCTTCACAGATTGAAAAGTGAGCCCAAACACTACATTTTCAGGTTCCTGGTAGTGTGAACTCTGCATTTTCAAATGTGTGTAAGGAAGCTTTCAGGCCTTTCAGAGCGATGCATGGGCCTGCAAGCAGAAGGTGAAAGTGTCTGTGTCTTATGCAAGAGCAAAAAAGCAACAGCCAGTCCCTGCTGATGCAGAGCTGAGTACATGCTTTAAATTATTCCAGAATTTATCATTTCAGTTATTTGGAGAAAAAATATGAAAAGTTTCTTTCTCATACCTTAACAGTGTCTAGTTTGTTAATTTTCTTTAGTTCCAGGCTCAAGGCATTTAAAACTTCTTAAATTCTGGACTTCATATTTTACAATGCCTTGTACAAAGCTTAGGGCCTAATCACATAGTTCACTCGGCCAGAATGGGGAATCTCTAGTGTATAAACTCTTTGAAGGGTCAGGGCTCCAGTTTAGAGGATGAGAATAGTCATTCCCATGATGATGGTCTAGAAAGAGGATTAAGACAGTGCTAGGTTCTGCGGTAGTCCCAGGAGCTATCTCAAGGAGGTATCCAAGTCTTACTGGCTTTCTCTGTAAGTGGGTTGCATGAGGGCATTGGCCAGTATACATTTAAAGCATATATAAGTGACAGAGAGGGAGGTGAAGTCCGGTCCATAGAGGTGAGCGGGACTTCAACAGTCTTAGTGGGGAAACCTTTCCGTTATGGTGGGGTGTTGCTCCAAGACTGTGGCACAAATGAAGAAAGAAGGGAAAGAAAAAGTACTCCTGGTGCAGTTACTCTTGTTTAATGGTTCCTGGGCAGTCACACTTAATAACTGTTTGCTACTGCTGTGTTGTACACTTGGTCCCACCTAGGTTTTCCCTTCTTCCTGTGACAACACTCTTCTCTTCCAGCCTCCTCCCTCTGCCTCCACTGCTGTGCAGCCAGAGATGTCGGGTAGAGAGTGTGGTATACCATAATCCCAGCTAGGGGATGGGATGGGAGAGAGTGGCTGCTTCCAGAGGTGAATGACTTCAGAGAGAGGGGAAAACTGGGTTGGGCCTCTGCTACAGGACACAAATCTTAAAAGGCAACACTTGACCTCTGGAGCAGTTAGACTAACACAGACTGACCCAGCCAGCCCTCCCTCATCACGTGTAAAAGTGTCTGCTTCAACTGATGTCCATCCACAACAGGATTGGTGCACAGGGGATGACTTGCTAGTCTTTTAGGCAGCTTTGCAGATACAGGGCCTTCATCTTCCAGAAGGGATGATGGTCTCGTGGTCTTTATGTACTGTACACACTTCTGCTCTGAAAAAGAAACCGAATGGTTAGGTCGATTCCATTTGCTGCCTGCTGAGTAGTTCAGCTGACAGCAGGTTGGC